TCCAAGCAGCACCAGACGGCTCTGCAAATGGCATTTGGTGCAGATGATCCATTTTCTGGCTGGGCTCCGTCGAAAGATGAGTTCGAGAAATTCGCTAGCAGCCGCCTGACGGCCGCGTCCCTCCGGGCGATGGACAAAAAGGTCGGACTNNAAAGGCTTGATTGCGCTTTCTTGCTGTCCAGTGAGGCAATCGCATTGCACCAAGACGTGAGACGCTTGGTGCTGATGATCCGCTACCGGGCGTGCAACTACAACCTGGAGACGAGGACCGGGCTCATGGGGATTTTCCACCTGGAGGATTCTACTAGCGCGTCGTTGGTGTTGGCGTGTGAGAGCATCTTGTGGAATTTTGTCGAAGAGGATGCTGCAAAGTATGACGCACTGCGACACAAGGTGATCCTGATCAACGCGGACGCGGCCCCTGACGAGCAACTTGCTGGTCGTTTGATGCAGACGAACGAGGGGCTGTACCCATCGGCCAAAGCTGTGACGCGAGACCGATGTCACGCTGCAAGAAGACTATTGCAGAGGCCGTTCAAAGCAGTTCCGGTGATCTGGGAAACGTTCAGTGCCTTGGTTTGGGGCTCGCAGTCCATGCCGAGTACCATCCAGAGCTCTGACGTTTTGAGAGCAGTCTTCAATAAATACACCCGCGCCACTGAATCCACCATACGGGGAGATCGCATCAAATCGCTGTCTCTCAGAAAGCAACGATTCGACTCACACCAAAAAGTAACTGGGCGGCTGTGCCTCTGGCTGGAAGCCACAGTCATGACAGCAATCTACGCAGCCACTTTCAGAAGAGGTGAGCGCGACGGGGATAGGGCAGTGCAATTCTTGCGCGACATCTCCGAAGAAAAGATGTTGCTGCTTGCCATGGTCGCGGACTTTTCCGACGAAGCCACCTCCGTGATTCGGATGATGGACACGGAGGACAGCGACATTGCCGGTCATGTCATGGAGTTGGACAGCTTTGCCAGCCGGGTGAAGCATTTGTTTGTGGATGAGAAGGCCACGGGTTCTGGGTACACCAAGTTCGTCTTGGAACAGCTCGAGAAGCGGATTGTGTCTTGGTTGCACGTGTGCCACAGTGGGGTCTTCCTTTATGATTACTCCACCAGCCGTGTTTTTTTTAGGTGAATCACAATGAATATCAGGCGTTCACAGTCGATGGCCGGCCAAGATGCTTGGGCGGGCCCAACAAGGTGACGCAGCCCATGCTTGCCAGATGCTTTCAGGCCATGAAAACCTTGGTGGCGCTTTGCAGTGAAGTCATTGCCTCCGAGTACCCGTCTTACGAGCTGCTCTCATCGCTGCACATTTTCGCAGTGTCTGAGGCCACGCGGAAGAATCGACAAGAATCAGCGGACTATGTCAGTTCACTGCACACCGCGGCGCAGCGGTTGTGCAAGATCTTCGATGCTTCATGGGAAGATTTCCTGCAGCAGTACTGGGACATCAAACCCATTGCCTGCCATCATAATTCCTCCAGGAATTGCAGCAGCTTCGAGTCCTGGAAGTTCGCGCTGGACAGCGTCAATCGTCGCCAATCCACTCGACTACAACATCCTTCCGAGCAACTACGCTGGGTGCTGATTCAGTTCGGAGCACTGGATGGCGCAACCACTTCGGGAGTAGAGCAACATTTCTCCCGGATGACACGCATCATCCCTGAGGAGAGGCTGCTGTTGTCGGAGCAGAACAAGAATCTGATCTTCATTCAGCATTATGTTCACCGAGGCCCACATTAGTTGCG